CGAGGGAACAAAGGTGGCAAGAGAAGAAAGTGGGCACTACTGCTGAGCACGGCAGAGACGGAAATCAGGAGCAGATGGCGGATAATAACAAACTCTACGAGACACAGACCAGAAAGACAAGCAACCAAGAAACAGACTTTCATAAGGAACTGGTTGCTAAAAGGCAAGGTGGCAACGATAGTAGGCAATAGACTGAGGTGGAAGAAATGGCACCAGGCAGAAGCATGAAGACCATGAGGGTACATGCCCGGAGACCTGGCAGAAGGTTCTGGATGGTGATCAACAAAAAGAGGACCGGACACAGAGCGAAAGACAAGGAGAAGCAACAGAACGCAGAGCGGACCCCCCCACTGTTCTGGTATTACAGGGACTCATTCGACAGGCTCTAACTAGAAGCCTGAGAGGAACAAATGGGCAGGGCGAGCTGACAGTCAATCCTCCTTAGAAGGAGCAATCAATGCTGATCAGGGGTCCTTCGGCCAGACGGAAGGAAGCGTTGAGTGGGTAATATGATGTAATCCGTTTTTGACTTGCCGGGGGAATAGGAACCGGACTGACGCTGCCCAGAATGGATATGGAGCCAGGAACATAAGGACCTGTTTAAAAAAAAAAAAGAAACCAAATGGGGACACTGGCTGAAAAAAGGAATTTGGTGCATCGAACATATATGGGACGAGCCATGCAAAAAATGCAAATCAGAAAATGACCAACGGGCCAAACTAAAAGGAGTACACCACCTACAAACAAACATAAACAAAATTGTTGATTGCATCCCCCTTCTCTGGAGAAACCTGCTAAGATCGGAACAAAAATGGCAGGACGACGATTGGGCCACCTCTAACGACTCCCCAACGGTTCAAGAAGTCCTCGCCTTCAAGAACTATGAAACTCATGACAGCAACTGTATCTGCTGTGATATCTTCACCTTAGATGAACCAGGAAACCCAGTAAGCCACATCAATTTAAAAAGCAGAGCAGAAGGTTCCTTCAGAACCAGAAATCTGAGAAGAATCAGAATCATAGAAGGAGAAATAAACAGAGTTTACAAACCCCAACTAAGCGTACAAAACCTAGAGATCGACCCTATCGAATGGACACGGAATTCCTCCGCCCGCCTCGCCCCTATCCCAAAACTCTATAAACTGACCAATTATACACCGAAATTAGGCTATTGCCTCTTCACCAAACCTATATCTATAGCCAACACTCTTCACAACAGTTGGACAAAAGAGGAACCACAACTATCCAACACCCTCTTCATACCCCCCTGGGCCTCAATCTTCGCCACAAGACCAGTTAAGATAGCCAATCTCAGATGGTTAATTAGTCTTCAGAGCAGTACCAGTAAACCAATGGCTGGCACGCAGATGCAACCAAGAAAACCCATCGGAACAAGACTCCTGGTGCAAAGTCTGCAACACCCAATACATAGAATCCCTAAATCACTGCTTCGTAGATTGTCCAAAGGCCAGATCTATCTGGTAAGCAATCGAGGTTTCATGCAATAAAATCACAAACCTACCTCTCTTAATTAACCCCGCCACATTATTCCTCGAACTCAAACAATCCCCTCCACTCAAGGGTTTCGAAGCCTTCCTCTCTTCACTCATTTACGAAAAGCACTCTCTGGACCATATTGTGGCATACTGCGCATCCACACGGGCCTGCAAGGCCCGACCAAACAAGGAGAAGTAAGGGCCCTACAGGCCCTGTGTCGTTTTCAGCCTGAAAGCCTGAAAGTCTGAAAACAAGGGCCTACAGGCCGTGTGTCGTTTTCAGCCTGAAAGCCTGAAAACAAGGGCCTACAGGCCCTGTGTCGTTTTCAGCCTGAAAGCCTGAAAACAAGGGCCTACAGGCCCTGTGTCGTTTCAGCCTGAAAGCATGAAAACGAGGGCCTACAGGCCCTGTGTCGTTTCAGCCTAAAAGCCTGAAAACGAGGGCCATTTTCAGGCCCTCATAAAGTCGGCCTGCCCTGAAACTTAGGCACCAGACCAGGGTTTTAGCACAGGCCATTTTGGGCCTGTTTTCAAGACAACCTTTGTTTGAACTTCAACACCAGGGTCTGGCGTTTTGGCATTGGCAAGAGCAGCCTCCTGGAAGGGCCAGCACTATATAAGACTGGCCCGCCCTGCAGGCTGCAGGCAGTCACGAGGTAGTTCATAGGGACTCCCAGGCACTTCGCGTGCAGGAGGCAGGAGGCAGTCTTTAGGATTCGGCAGCAGCACTCTGGAGGAGCACAGCAGTAGTAGTAGTAACATTAGCAGTAGTCTTCAGCGCTGGGCGCTATTAGGAGCTAGAGTAGCGTTGGAGACAGAGAGATGGTTGGCGGAGGCCAGGGAGACTTACCTGTGGCGCCATAGCTCCAGCTTCGTCTTCGATGTACCTGCAACAAGGCGCCACCTTCACAGGTTACTACCGGACTGAGAGAGAGAGAGAGAGTTCTTCTTCTTCCTCTTCTAAGTCCACCATCTCTCCCTCACCCTCTCGCTACCTAACTTCTCAGTATCTGCAGACTACGAGAGAGAGAGAGAGATTGATGACTTCGGGACTTGATGACATTTGGATCCAGACTCCACATTGGGATTGAGACATTGGACGAGGGACTATTTGGGACCTGTACAGAAGACTTGGTGTTGACGACATTCCCATCTTCCCCTCTTCTTCGTCTAACCCCCCCTCTTCTTCGTCTGTGTATGGTTGGGGACTGGCGCATTCTTCCTGTGTGAGCGCCAGGCCCCTTCACACCATGGAATGATGATGATGTATGTTCGGTCTGCATTGCAACATTGATCGTTTGGATCATTGGTATATTAGCCTTCCGCTGCGCTATCTTGTACTATGTGAGAGAGGTCGGTTCTTGTTCTGGTCTGCACCTTTACGGTATGCGACAATATGGAGAATCAGATTTGACAGCACTTTCAATGACCACCTCATTTCCCCAGAGAAGCCAATCATAGCCATAAAACAACTAATAGGCGTGGAAATCCACACCCCTTGGAAAAAACAACTCAACCAACTCCCTACCGACCCCGAAAAAAAAGTGGAAAAATAAAAAAGTTCATAACGTTCAAACTAGGAAAAGGGCAGCTAGGCACAATAAATAATGACAGACTCGCCCTCATGAACTGGATAAGCATACTAACAATTCCTGACCAGCCACCACCACCTATATCCCAGCCATTACTGATAACGAATGAACCTCATACCAGCCAAACATCGGCATAGCAGCAATATCCCCACCCCCGCCCTTCCACACACTTCCTACAACCACCCCTCCTCCATTCCCTAAAAACATCCGAGTAATCACAAACCAACTCACACACCCCTCTTACCCTACCCCCTTCCACGTCTAGCATTCATCCCACAATTAGCACCTATCTAAAATTCCTTATCCACGTCAGCCCCCCTCCTATCCCACCAACCCCAAATAGAGTCTACCCCAGGCTTTAAGTAGAACACCTATCAACATCTGTTACATTCAAGGAACAACCCCCCAGAAAAAGAATAGCGTCAAAGAGCCAAAAGCTAGGGTTTAGGGTTTTAGCCTTAGACGACATCCTCAATCAAAACTGCACACAGGGAGTCCGGAAGTAGAGCAAAGGGGCATGCCACATCTACGGTCCTAGAAAAGCATAGACATCGCACAGGCTAGATCGACAGAGAAATACAGACTGAAAAGAGACATGATTTTTCCAGCAAATACAAGCAGCAAACAGTTATAGTCACCAAGGTCAACAACAGTCTAGAGGAGGCTAACTTAGGCAGGAGTGAAGATCGGTACATCCTTCTTCAAGGAAGCAATCAATGTCGTCGTCAGGGCCTCCACGCCATAAGGGGGAGGAGCGTGAGTGGGTAACCATTGTACTATTTTTTACTTGCCGGGGGAATAGGAACCGGACTGATGCTCCCCAGAATGGAAAAGGAGCTAGAACTTAAGGTTCTGTTGTTGTTGTTGTTGTTGTTGTTGTTGTTGTTTTTTAAGAAAGAAAACTGAAAACAGAAAAAAGAAAAAGAAAAAAAAAACACATCTTCTGCAAATGAAGTTTAAATTGTTTAATGAGCCGGAATCCGGAATGGCAGATCGTCATAAGCCATGAACAGCGACTCAAAATGAAAAGCAACAATGTCAAGTGACAAGAGAGTGTGTAGACAAAGAGCGAGATTATTTTTAAAAATATAAAAAATAAAAATATATATTTATAACAATAAATCTAGAATATGTCAATACGATCAATTGATATTTGAAACACTTGAACTCCCCTGTCCCTCTCTTACTACAGGTCCTCCTACTCCTCACTCGCCACCTCAGCATGCCATCATCTCTCTGATCTATCTACTGGCGAGCTCCTCTCTCTCTCTCTCTCTCTCTCTCTCTCTCTCTCTCTCTCTCTCTCTCTCTCTC